AATCCACTTTTTTCTTAATTGGACTTAATCCCTAGTTTTTTCAAAAGTGGGCACAGTGGGGACACATCGTTTCACCATATTACGTATGGCGATTGGCCGGTCGTCCCGCTGCGTGCGTCGAAAAATAACTAATTTCGCTGGAATTTTAAGAAAAAAGAAAGATTTATGAATACGGTACTCTTATAAAACGCTCAAATAAAAGTGTTTTAAAATGGTTTATTTCTATTCTGATTTTTTTGGTCGATAGACTCATTTATAGACTCATTTTTGTGAAAACCTCAATTTCGACCAAAATCAATATTTTCACTTGCATCGTCTGTACCGCAATATTACATTTTGCTCATTCCGGCTCATGTTGCCGCGCGGGTCACAAAATATAAAAAAAATACGCCTTTATGCGTATATTATGCAAAAATATACATATGTCGCATTAATGCGAATATTATGCAAAAATGTACATAAAATCGCCTTAATGCGTATATTATGCAAAAATATACATAAAGTCGCCTTAATGCGTATGTAACAGTTACAAAATATTAAGGCGACCAAAATATTTGTATATTTTTAATTTTTTTTCTCTATGAACCAAACTTCAGGAAATTGTAAAACAAAGGGTACAGTACCCAAAAAGCATTTTCTGCTATAAAATATGGAAAACTGTAGATTATGCAAAGTGTCCCGTCCCATATTTTATATTCTCTGTGTTTTAATGAATGCTCATCGTATCCATGCGCCGATTGGTAAGATTTTATTTCATGAACGTATGAATTTTGAAGGGTTGTTTGTTGTTTGTTCAATTACATGGTTATTGTATCATGGAAACGTTATGCTTTATCCCTGTTATGTATATTTCCAGTAGATTATTATAACATTGTAAAATTACATATAAAGAACTTGTAAAATTTATCTATAAATTCATGTTTGAACCTTTAACTTAAAGATACTATATGTAAGATTTAGATAAAGAGCTAGCCATTTATGCTCCAATAGTTCGAAAATAGATAATGTAAAATGAATCATTTGAAAATTTCATTCCAATTACTCTATTGCGAGCGAAGATATTAGCCTTTGAAAGTTTGACAAGACCTTGCAACAACAAATTAAAATATGACTGAACCATTCTAATCTATTTAATATCGGAGAAATCCGATGCAATCGAGAGTTGATTATGGCCTTGGATCAGTTAATAAATGTCTAATTAATAATTTTGAAAACATTTCAGGCCTAAAGAAATACCTGCAATAGGCAGATTTAGCTCTTGCATAATGTATGTTTAATGTCTGCATCTGCCATTTGTGGAATATAATTTTGGTATTTCTATGTGATCAATATGGTTACTGCTGAAGTATTAATGTTTTAGTAAATCAATGTCCGAATATAGGTATTTGTTATTGCAACAAATTTCCCCGTTTGATAAGCTAATCACAATTCTGTCTAGGTCTGTAATATTTTGATGTTTGATGTATGGCTGATACAATTTGAGAAAGTTATTGATAAAACTGCTATTTACTCTCAAAAATGACCAAGTATGAAATACAATAAAATGAACACAATTCACGTATAAACTAGGATGATAATTAACAATTTATTTCTTACAAAGTTTTGGGAAATTTACGGTAAATCGAATGATTTAGTATTTTAGATAATATTATTCACGGGGATATTAACGCTAAAAAATTTGCTTCCTAAACATTTTTTGTGTTTTTTTTTCAAATTAATAGAATATCGAATGAATTAGTATTTTAGATCATATTATTCACGGGGATGCTTTAAAAAGCTCAAAATGAATATTACTCGAAACTAAACGATATGATAGTTACACACACTTTTGATATTTCAAGAATATAATAAGTTACGTGTTTCAGGACGAAAAAAAAAAGAGTTCAAATAGATAATGAAAATACATAAAGACAAAAACAATTACATGAGTAACGGAGCGTTCTAATCACCAAGTTTTGAGGAAAAAAATAGTAAGGTTGGTATACATATTTGTTTTTAAAAAACGACCGTGGGGGGAAATATATACATTTTGTAATAAACAACATGAAAAGATATTATTCGTGCTGTTGTGAGAGTCTGTGATGGCGTGTGGTCGTGTGTGTGTGCACGTGAGAGGCGGGGTGTGTGGGTGGCTGGTTGTCTGTCTTTTCCCCATTACGTGCGTACTTGAGCGTTTTAATCACCATTTGTGACAAAAAAAAGTCAAGATTGGTATAAATATTTAAAAAAAAAAAAACGACTGTAGGGGAAATATATACATTTTGTAATAAACAACATGAAAATATATTATTCGTGCTGTTGTTAAAGTCTGTGATGGCGTGTGTGTTTGCATGTGAGATGCGGGGGTGTGTGGGTGGTTTGTTGTGTGTCGTTTTACCATTCGCCAATTTGAATGAACTCCCAAACACGCGATCCCCAAATTTATGTTATTCAAATCAGCCTTGCGTCAAATTTAAATAAGATCTACTAGTTTTCAAAGTTTCGACAATTTCAAAATTTCTTTTGTCTAAAATATTTTGGCAAGAAGTGTAAAATATTTCCCAAAATAAAAAATAAATAAATACAGATTTACGTTTTCAGGTACAGTACCGTCGTTTTTAATACACTCGTTTCGGATTACGCCCACGTAGTCGAATAACAGTGACATCAAAGCTTAGTATATTGATTCTAGAGACCTTCTGCTTAAACGATATTTTAAACTTCCGAAACAAATCAGTACTTTTATAACGGAATAATTAGTATGAATAGCCCCATTACAATTACTAATTCTTATGTTCTTTAATTGGTGATTTGCATAGTCGCATCACCATGAATATAACCAGTTACGATTTCAACAATTTAACGCATTTTTTGTTTTTAATTTATTGATAAAGGCCGACATCGTGATCAGTCTGTATACATCGAGTGTCGATCGAACATGCCTTGTACCAATTTTCAGCAAGATTGGATATTTTGTTCAGGTATTATATCAGTATGTGCTTCCGATCCATTGTTAATTCAAGAATTTTGTGCCATTGACCCCTGTACGTGATCCCTGTGTTACAAAGTTATGTCCATGTTCAATATTATAAATTAAAACAAAACAAAGAAAAAAGACTTCATTTCTCAATTTTATTAAATTCTAATCTCTTACTTCTCATTCTCAATTCCTACAGGTTACATACAAAGACGGTCTCATCATTAATACATCTAGGTTGCTACAAATAATTTCCAGACAACCTGTACGGTAACCTGTTAGGTTACCTGCCCTGAAATTGTTTGACTTAAAGATACATTATGGAAGATTAAAGAGCTGACAATTCTAGATATAATAGATAAAAAATAGATTATAATGTACATGGGAAATGTCGAAAATTTCAGTGAAATTGCTGCAATCTGAATTCTCTATACACAGTAGCCTCGATTGTCATTTTTACCGCTGTTACGCTAATAAAAAGAAGACTTGATTCTCCATTTATCAAGGGCGTTGGACAGAAAATCGGATTCAAATCTAATGAAAATCGGACCCATAAGATGCCATCGAGGGCATTGATTATGGTCTTTTTAATAAATGTCTAATTAATAGTTTATATAACATTTCAGACCTAAAGAAAGATCTGCAATAGTCAGATTTAGCTCTTGCATAATGTTTACGTTTAATTAAGCGAAAACATTAAATTTTAACGAAGGAGAAATGGAAAGTTGAAAATATTTTTAAGTAAAGTAGATCAATAAAGAAATTGCAAAAAGACCTTACCTGTAAAAATTCTTATGCTCTTTAACAAATCTGTGTAGTTGTAACATGGTTTAACGTAAATCGCACCTGTATGTGCAACTGTTTACTTGTCATGTAAATACAACTGTTCAGGGCGCAATAAGTTTAACGTATCCCAAATAAACACTTTAATGATATTCTGATTTTAATTTTCTGAATACTTATTAATATCTACTAAATGCAATGGGTATGATTCCACATTGAAGCCGATACAGGTGTGGCTAATCCCATATGGGTAAAATATTGGACCCAGATGCATTATTTTATATGTGGTAGATGCCAATACATAAGATATTGGCCCAAGATACACATGCGGGTAATCCCATATTGATACCATATTGAACCCATATACATAATATACATGAATGTGGTTATATCATATCCATACCACACAAGCTTCTGGTGCACATATGCGTAATCCTTTCTGTACAGATTGGTTCACAAAACTAAAAGTATGGATTCAATAATGAACTTATACATACAAATAAGTAATCCCATATGGATACCATATTGGCCCCAGATATACAAAAGTTATATGTAATCCCATACAGATACCATATTATCCCCAGATACACACATGGGTAATCCCATATGGACACCATATTGGCCCCATGTATACAAAACAGAGTTGTTAATGTGGGTAATCCCATAAAGACCCCATATTGGCCCAAGATACACACACTATAAGGTCAGATTATCAATGTAAGAAAGAAGTAAGCATTATATCATTTGGCTTATATCTGTGATATTAATATATACACAATTAAAAGTATGGATTCAATAATGAACTTATACATAGACTAATAAGTAATCCCATAGGGATACCATGTTGGCCCCAGATATACAAAAGTTATATGTAATCCCATACAGATACCATATTATCCCCAGATACACACACGGGTAATCCCATATGGACACCATATTGGCCCCATGTATACAAAACAGAGTTGTTAATGTGGGAAATCCCATATAGATCCCATATTGGCCCCAGATACACACACTATACGGTCAGATTATCAATGTAAAAAAGAAGTAACCAATATATCACTTGGCTTATCTCTGTGATATTTATATATACATAACTAAAAGTATGGATTCAATAATGAACTCATACATAGACTAATAAGTAATCCCATATATATACCATGTTGGCCCCAGATATGCAAAAGTTATATGTAATTCCATACAGATACCATATTATCCCCAGATACACACGGGTAATCCCATATGGACACCATATTGGCCCCATGTATACAAAACAGAGTTGTTAATGTGGGAAATCCCATATAGATCCCATATTGGCCCCAGATACACACACTATACGGTCAGATTATCAATGTAAAAAAGAAGTAACCAATATATCACTTGGCTTATCTCTGTGATATTTATATATACACAACTAAAAGTATGGATTCAATAATGAACTCATACATAGACTGATAAGTAATCCCATATATATACCATGTTGGCCCCAGATATGCAAAAGTTATATGTAATTCCATACAGATACCATATTATCCCCAGATACACACACGGGTAATCCCATATGGACGCCATATTGGCCCCAAGTGTACAAAAACAGAGTTGTTAATGTGGGAAATCCCATATAGATCCCATATTGGCCCCAGATACACACACTATACGGTCAGATTATCAATGTAAATAAGAAGTAACCATTATATCATTTAGTTTATGTCTGTGATTTCAATATATACACAACTAAAAGTATGGATTTAAAAATGAACTCATACATCGTCTAATAAGTAATCCCATATAGATACCATGTTGGCCCAGATATGCAAAAGTTATATGTAATCCTATACAGATACCATATTATCCCCAGATACACACACGGGTAATCCCATATGGACACCATATTGGCCCCAAGTGTACAAAAAGAGAGTTGTTAATGTGGGAAATCCCATATAGATCCCATATTGGCCCCAGATACACACACTACACGGTCAGAATATCAATGTAAAAAAAGAAGTAACCATTATATCATTTGGCTTGTCTCTGTGATATTAATATATATATGAAAATAAAGTGTATTTGCGTACATTTGTATGTGGTAAGATAATATGGGTCCTATATGGGGACCTTGTGGTATCACTTGGGCCCACAGCCCATTTATTCCCCATATGGTCCCCATGTGGCAATGTTTATGGGGATTGGATTTCTTCTGACTGGATCTGTAATTCAAAAGGAAAGCACATTAGGTCCGTTGATGTGCAACCTGACAAAGCAACACAACTCTTTCCATATGATCTCCCTTTAGACCACAAAACACATACAATTCAAATCTAAATTGCACCTGAAATATGCAGAGGGTTCAAAAAGACTTTTTATGAACGATTGTAAAAACATTAAAATAAACCCCATCGTACCAGAACTATTATTGATTTGCATTTATTTCCAGCAATGACGTATCATCAATATTACTTACTAAAAACAATGGTAGCTGTAGCATGTGCCCCTAATTCACGCTTGCCTTTTTATCCTGTCCAATTGTAACGGCGTTGTACTTAAGTGACACTGAGATTCTTCATGATGTTTATAACGATGGACAGGACATCTCTGCCACCTAATCGTCCAAGTCTGTTTATCTTAAACAGAACGAAAAAACGAAAAAATAAGTAAGTGCACTATATATTACCTGCAAAATATCACAAATCGAACGAAACTATTCTTCCATAAATTCACATTTATTTTCATGCAAGTTGTCACGTCTTAAAACATGCACACCCAAGCAGCTTCATCACCATGATCATTAATATAAATGGTTACAGTTTTTTGTGAAAAAAGGACACCAGACAAAAGCATTTATCTGCCAGTGTTGTTCTAACATACCTATATTAACAAATTTGACTCGTTGTAACTTTTTTGTTTGTTTTTTTTATTTGGGGGGGGGGGGCATAATATAGGTTGGTAGTTACACCAAGGCTATCATCGAGGCTGAATATTTTGTGTATAGGGGTGGCACCAAACTAGAGTTTTACCAAATTCAGCTATAATGTCCTTTGTATGTATTTCGTCGTTTTGTCCAGCGAGAGCAAGAAACATATTTTGCCATGACACACATTAATGCGTGTTATAAGTTGAAAATGTAAATAGTCACCTTTCTTGAAATGACATCTTTCTTGTTTCAGAGTTTTCCAATATTTTCAAAATAACTGAAAAAAAGAAACATCCATTCAAATCCATCCTCATATTATTATAAAACTTTTATATAAGTACTTTGATACAATATACATATATATATAGGTATATTTCCACACAAAATGATCAAGCCAGTTAAGTAACAGATATAGCCTTTATAGGTCAAAGCAAAACATTTCAAAATTTAGAAACTTTAAAAACTTTTATTTCAGTTTATTTTGTCGAAAAGTTGAGTGATACTCCATAAACCATCAAGCATATTGTAGTATAGGAAGGATGGGACAAATTTACCTTTGATTAAATTTTGTGAACTGATTGCAGAGATTTGTACCACTTTGGTCTGTTTCTTGTTAACTAACTTCTAACTGCGATACACATACTTCTGCATTTCAGAATCTAAAATTAAGCGAATGACAAATTTAACAGACTAAATTGGTTGTTAAAGATGACACGCTAACAGGTATTCACGGTTGACTTGATGAACTCTGCTGTATGGTCAGATATTATATAATTTGAGTACAGAATCTGCTATAGTCATTAAAATCTAACTAGCAAGAAACCTACCAGCCAGGCTGTATTTATAATAAATTTTAGTAGAAACCGGTCCTGATTTCTTTGACTTTTTTCTTTAAAGAAAATGTATTACGATTCTTTTGCATTAAAGCTCTACAGAGACGGGCATTTATTTTGAACGGTAGAGTGAAGTACATATTTCTTAAAATGAAAACATGTATCACAATTTCATTCATAAACAAACTCTATTTTTTATTCATGGTAAACTTATTATAGTCTGTGATAAGGAGAATTCTGCTGTAATCTGTTTAATCTCTGCAAAGTATATATTAGTGCACCACTTAATTCTATAGTAAGCTAAAATATTAATAAAAGATCTCCAAATTGTTTGGATTTTAATTTTATTTAAAATATAAAACAAATTTCAGTACGCAGTAGAATAAATCATCTACCTATGGAGTACCTATTTATATTGCGCGTAAAGGCTTTAGCAGCTTTGCAAGTATGGCTTAATAATATTATATACTTTTTGAAAATTAATTTAATCTTAAGTTATATTTTTCTGATTTGTTATTACTGTATTGGTTTTAAAAGTGCAAAAGTGTTATTTTTTTAAATGCTGTTTATTTTGAGTTTGATATGTTGGTGATGAATTTTTTCACCTATAATTTGCATAGTCGCATCACCATGAATATAACCAGTTACGATTTCAACAATTCAACGCATTTTTTGTTTTTAATTTATTGATAATGGCCGACATCGTGATCAGCCTGTATATACATCGAGTCTCGATCGAACATGCCTTGTACCAATTTTCAGCAAGATTGGATATTTTGTTCAGGTATTATATCAGTATGTGCTTCCGATCCATTGTTAATTCAAGAATTTTGTGCCATTGAACCCTGTACGTGATCCCTGTGTTACAAAGTTATGTTCATGTTCAATATTGTAAATTAAAAAAAACCAAAGAAAAAAGACTTCATTTCTCAATTTTATTAAATTCTAATCTCTTACTTCTCAATTCCTACAGGTTACATACAAAGACGGTCTCATCATTAATACATCTAGGTTGCTACAAATAATTTCCAGACAACCTGTGCGGTAACCTTTTAGGTTACCTGCCCTGAAATTGTTTGACTTAAAGATACATTATGGAAGATTAAATAAAGAGCTGACAATTCTAGATATAATAGATAAAAAAATGGATTATAATGTAAATGGGAAATGTCGAAAATTTCAGTGAAATTGCTTCAATCTGATTCATATACACAGTAGCCTCGATTGTCATTTTTACCGCTGTTATGATAATAAAAAGAAGACTTGATTATCCATTTTTGCAGTTAATCAAGGGCGTTGGACAGAAAATCGGATTCAAATCTAATGAAAATCGGACCCACAAGATGCCATCGAGGGCATTGATTATGGTCTTTTTAATAAATGTCTAATTAATAGTTTATATAACATTTCAGACCTACAACTGTTGAGGGCGCAATAAGTTTAACGTATCCCAAATAAACACTTTAATGATATTCTGATTTTAATTTTCTGAATACTTATTAATATCTACTAAATGCAATGGGTATGATTCCACATTGAAGCCGATACAAATGTGGCTAATCCGATATGGGTAAAATATTGGACCCAGATGTATTATTTTATATGTGGTAGATGCCATATACATAAGATATTGGCCCCAGATACACATGTGGGTAATCCCATATTGATACCATATTGAACCCATATACATAATATACACGACTGTGGTTATATCATATCCATATCACACAAGCTTCTGGTGCACATATGCGTAATCCTTTCTGTGCAGATTGGTTCACAAAACTTAAAGTATGGATTAAATAATGAACTTATACATACAAATAAGTAATCCCATGTGGATACTATATTGGCCCCAGATATACAAAAGTTATATGTAATCCCATACAGGTACCATATTATCCCCAGATACACACACGTATTCCTTATGGATACGAAATTGGCCCCATGTATACAAAACACAGCTGTTAATGTGGGTAAGCCCATATAGACCCCATATTGGCCCCAGATACACACACTATAAGGTCAGATTATCAATGTAAGAACGAAGCAAGCATTATATCATTTGGCTTATCTCTGTGATATTAATATATACACAACTAAAAGTATGGATTTAATAATGAACTTATACATAGACTAATAAGTAATCCCATATGGATACCATGTTGGCCCCAGATATACAAAAGTTATATGTAATCCCATACAGATACCATATTATCCCCAGATACACACACGGGTAATCCCATATGGACACCATATTGGCCCCATGTATACAAAACAGAGTTGTTAATGTGGGAAATCCCATATAGATCCCATATTGGCCCCAGATACACACACTATACGGTCAGATTATCAATGTAAAAAAGAAGTAACCATTATATCATTTGGCTTATCTCTGTGATATTAATGTATACACAACTTAAAGTATGGGTTCAATAATGAACTCATACATAGACTAATAAGTAATCCCATATAGATACCATGTTGGCCCCAGATATGCAAAAGTTATATGTAATCCCATACAGATACCATATTATCCCCAGATACACACACGGGTAATCCCATATGGACACAATATTGGCCCCAAGTGTACAAAAACAGAGTTGTTAATGTGGGAAATCCCATATAGATCCCATATTGGCCCCAGATACACACACGGGTAATCCCATATGGACGCCACATTGGCCCCAAGTGTACAAAAACAGAGTTGTTAATGTGGGAAATCCCATATAGATCCCATATTGGCCCCAGATACACACACTATACGGTCAGATTAACAATGTAAAAAAGAAATAACCATTATATCATTTGGCTTGTCTCTGTGATATTAATATATATATATGAAAATAAAGTGTATTTGCGTACATTTGTATGTGGTAAGATAATATGGGTCCTATATGGGGACCTTGTGGTATCACCTGGACCCACAGCCCATTTTTTCCCCATATGGTCCCCATGTGGCAATGTTTATGGGGTTCATGCATACAATTTTCGTTAGCAATGCACACGCCTCAAACGAGAGAGGTATAAGGTGCTCTTTCAATGAACCCTTATCAACAGCGTCTGTCAACTTGATTCCTAGCTGATATCTATTCTTAGCATTAAATCTGTTATTAACGGGGTACTTGTTTTAGCCATAAAAAACCCTGTTTGTATGTAATGTTTTCTACTGATATATTTTATGCTTAATACAGATGATTATCTATAATTAGTCCCCTTATAGTAGAGATAAAGAATATTTTGTGGCTAAAATATTTTAGTAATCCTATATGAAAAGTCTTTGTACACATTAATGCATGTAGATAACTACCTATAACATGTCTATAAGATTATCACCCCATATAGCAATCATGAATCGCCGAAAAATATTACTAATCGAGGCGACAGCAACAAATTTACGTATGTGCTGATATCTGCATAATGTTTGTTCTCTTATTATGTCTGTATTCCTCATATTCCTCTTTGAGAATGTTATAAACTCTGATATATGAGTTATCCCACCTCACACACCGTGGACATGTGATGGTTTTCCATGTCGCATATAGTATGTTAATCCTTTATTGCGTATTAAGCACACTTAGATTTCGTACAATGAAAATGAAACATGTACATTCAAAACTTATATATGCAAGTATAGGGAATATATAAAACTTAAAAGTATATTATCGTATTTTCTTAGATATAAGAGCACTTCTATTTATTCAACGCACAGAGAAATAATGTATTATTATTATTATTATTCCTTACAATTATGTTCTCAAAAAGGGCTTTCCTACACACAGATCTATTATCTCATTCATAGCTTCAAATTTGCTTATTTACTTTTAAATAATATTAAATGGCGTCTATTAAACTTCTATCCATCAATGTAAGAGGAATTCGAAATGTCTTTAAAAGAAAAAAGATATTTCATTGGTTACATGAACAATCATGCGCTATTAATTTCCTTCAAGAAGCTCACAGTAGTGTTTGCGATGAAACCGATTGGCAGAGCGAATGGGCGGATCGCATATTGTTTTCACATGGTAGAACTGACTCAGCGGGGACAGCTATTTTTTTAAAAAAGTAACAACAACATTAATGTTATTAAAAACCAATCTGATGAAAATGGTTATTTTAACATCTTAGTAATAAGTATCTGTAATGATATCTTAGTTTTAGTCAATACATATAGCCCTATATTGGACAATGACCAGTACACTTATTATACAAGATTACTTAAATCTTTACAGCAGCTATGTGGTGAACTTGACTCGTTCTCAATGGTAATTGGCGAAGATTTTAATAATGTCCTAAATGTTAAACTTGATAGATATGGCGGAAACTACAAACTGAAACGAAAAGGTCAAAATGCCATATTCAATATGATTAATTATTATAACCTCTTAGACATATTCAGAATTTTAAATCAAAATGATAAGCGTTTTACTTGGAAACAAAAGAAGCCATTGATACAAAGTCGAATCGATTTTTGGCTCATATCAGAAAAACTCCAAGATTGTATAAAATCATGTATAATAAAACCAACCTCGTTTACTGATCATTCATCAATTCATATACATATCAAAATAACTAATTATCCTCGTGGACCAAATCTATGGATATTTAATTCTTCGTTAACGAAAGACAAATCATATACTAAATTCATAAAATCATCTATACCGATATGGAAAAGTAAATATTTTGACAAACAAAATAAAAATGGTTTATGGGACTTCATTAAATTTAAGATAAAGGAATTTTCTATAGAATATTCCAAAAAGAAACAAAAACTTAAAAAAGCTGTAAAAATTAGCCTAACTGAGGAACTGATCGAGCTTGAATCTCTTATCAGTAAACAGGAGCCTAGTAACAACAAAATTATCGAAAAACTTTATGATCAATATATCGAGGTTAAACAATCATTAGACAACATTTACATTGATGAGACACCAGGAGCAATTATTAGGTCCAAACAAAAATTATTTCTAAACTTAGAAAAAGAAAGAAAGTGTGCTACTACAATAAAAAAGCTCCAAAAATCTGACGATT